CACGACGATCAGGCGCTCTGAAGCAGATGTGCCAGTGGCTGCCCTTCTTTTTAGGCATAACAATATCATCGCGAAACGAAGTTATTAGAGGAGATGAGGGAAAAAAGAGATGGAATATGACTCCTATAGTTTAGCCTGATGACTCTACGCCTACTTTCAAGACTCACGATAATAGCTATTACTAAGTAAAATTGCAATGAGGTACGAATGTTGACGATATGGACTATTTCTTAATTACGTTCCAACCCCGTAGCATAAACGACTTGCTTTACTCGTGTGAATGTTGTCCGAGGTTCGATCCGCGGATGTGGTGGTAGCGCCTCCATATAGTATTGCTTCGCCTTGGTTTTAACACCGAAAATGAAAGTCCTGGTGTTCTGCATAGTCATTATAATAAAATGTCAAGGTGTCTAAATAGATGATGCCCGATTCATAACCTGAGTACCATCAGACCGGGAGACGGGCAGTGGGAACGGTTTTGTGTGATCGATTCGCTGCGCGCGGCAGTCGCGGACCACTTGCCTCGTCATTACGTTCTAGCGTTCTTCATACGGCTTGGTCGATGTGCCATTAGTATTTTTAACAGGTTCTAATGTTAGCTCCTTTGTTCCTGTATTTCTTACTTGCTGCTGCATTCTGCTACGCGCGCGGTGCCTCTTTCGCCGCGACGCGAGAGTGTCATTCCTACTGCATCACACCTCTATAGGACCATAGTACAGTTCACGATAGAAATACATAACGAGACGAATAGTAGGTTTCAATGAGAGACACTCAGGCGGTCATCTCGTACAAACCCCGTTATTGCTGCTTTTTGTCTCATTTTTTTCAAAATCCAACAATTTTGACGCGTCACTCTTGCACTATTATGCACCATGCACTATTCCTCCATCATTTTACTCAAAATAAATACCTCAAAATTATCGTAGGCTCTGGCTTCGAGGAGCACTGCAGCGGAAGTGGCGTACTCAAATTATCCCCCCACTCGTCAATCTCATGACCTTTGTTTAGCCAGAAATCTAGAATTCGTGGCGTTTGCTGCTTGCTGAATTTCAGAACATGGGATTCTGCTCTTTATTTCGGCGGGCGGAAGCATTCTGGAAGTAGTTCCATAAGTGACAGTTCCATGGGTCAAACAGGCGTATGTGGACCTTTCTGAACCTGATGCGAGAGAGAAGCGTGGTATCTGTGAGAAGGGCGTTTAGCCGGATGTCCTTCGATTTCCTTGCTACTTCCCTAACGCCTCTAAACGCTTCCTAAATGGGATCCTTCCCCTCTTACAATTAGACATAAGTGCAGCCCCTGGATGAACCATTCGAAAAAACCCAGTTGTAATCAAAAAGCCCCTCTCTCTGAAAATATCTTCTTCCTAAAAAAATTCTATCTTTTTTATGAAATGATCCCAGCAGCCTTACGTCAGCTGGGTAAACCTTGTGGTCTATCCCTGGTATATGGCAGTAAGCGATTAAACAAAGTAGCTCCCACTTTTTCTTATTAGCTAATGCTTAGTGTCATCAAGAAAATCCACTTCTTTGCCTTAGAGTTAATCTCGTAGGCTCCGTTGCACTTGTTAGTTTTCGCCCCTTCTCCTCCCCAAGGCATCTCATAACATCTCCGTGACTTCAGTGAAGTCTATTGTAAGAGTGTCTCTTCATCAACATTTTGAGGCTTCTCAAAGTCGTTTGTATTAACCTTTGAAGTTTTTTTTTCATTTGTAGGCTTCTCAGCATGTGCCCATGTGGTGCTATCGTATTCTCGCTGGAACAGGATAGTCTACAAGTAGCATGAGGAGGATGGTAACAGTGACGATAATTATGTTCGTCAGCAATCTCGATCGCCATGGTTTAGTTGAACGGAGACGTCAACTGGCTTGCTAATGCTCATGAAATGTAGTCGCTCCTGCTGATGCTTATCGAATACATTCCCAACATGGTTCTTCTTGATTTCATTTGAATTGATTTTAGTGTGTTCGCCTTACTGCACTATGAGCCCTGAAGTTTGCCATTTTTATGGAACTTGACCAAGACCTCCACACCGACTGTCATCCGGCTGATCAGAGATCTCTCTGAGCGTCAGTAGCTCCTTCATTAGCCCCCTTTACGGGCATCAGCATGGTTATATTAACTGGGAGTAGCCGGGAAATGAATTTATCAGAATATTGACCGGAAGGCTGAAAAGGCTTTTCATTCTTTATAGTTAACGATAATATTTCTGAAAAGAGAAAAGCTGGGTACACACAGTAAGCAAAATTGTTATCCAAAATATTGATTTTGATAAAGGGACCAATGATTAATAGAAGGAAAAAATAGTGTAGTGATCGGGATATTCCGAGCTGGCCCCCTGCTCTGCCATTTTTGATAGATATAGATATTGATCGAAATTGAGCTGAAGAGGTGAAAGGCTCGGTTGTTTCGAGCAATTGCTTTTGTCATTTGGTAAGCCCTACAAAAAGAACCCTTATAATGAGATGTTTTTCAAGGTTCCAGTTTGCCATGCTGATAGTAAACTATGTTTTTGTTTCGAGAAAGATTTCGTGTAGGACGTTGTTGTTCGAGAATCGATCCTGAAAGGAGCGTTTGCGGATACGGTATTTCGCGTCCTACTTCATTGCGAATTTGCAGGGGCGCCTAGGCGCGGTGATTCAAGGTTCGAATCCTACAAAGATTTCGCTCTAGTTAACCAAGCCCATCATTTTGAAGTGTTGGCTGATAGCTGAATTGTACATTGGCTACCTCACACTTGTTCCTACCATTCAGACATCACTACGAATCTTAGTGCTAACTCAGTGCATGGCTCACTTAATGAAGGAGCCGATGAGCCCGAACGCTCTTTTTCAAATCATATTTTGAAATTGAATTTCTTTTTGTTTACTGTTGATTGCCGTGGAAGGAGCGATATCGCTCTAACTTGATTGTCGTTTACGTCATTAACTAAGTTGTTATTATACCAGTACCTTTGACGTAGTAAACCATTTCACCAGGTAAGCTTGAAGGCCTTATCTCAAACTTCCAAAGTTTTTTCCAGTGTGCCGACCCTTCAAAAAATGTAGGGGGGGGGGGG